ATATAAAGTATATCTTCCATACCTCTGATTGTTTAGATGCGATTTTTTATATAAGTATGTAACTCCTCTATCGATGTATGCAGATGTATTCAAAAGCAGTAATCTGTCAAAGTAAAATTTGCAGATGTTCATGAAAGGTATGAAGCCTTCGGCATAGCCGAAGACAGCGCTGCTCTTACTTGTTTTTTTTTAATTTGGACGTCCATTTACACACATATATCCAGGCGATGAGGAGATGCTTGTTTAAAAGAATTGAGAAATGAGTAAAATATTACTGTTCGTTTTGGCAGCAGCTTCTCGAGATCGTTCTTTCGGCGAACTGCCTTGCGATCGCCCTTCATTGCCAAGATGCGCTCTCGGAGCATAGCTGTAAAAAGGTAGTAGATCAGGTCGATGATGACTATTCGGATCGAACGCACGTCAAGAATTCTCGTAGCATATTTTTAGTCAACCACAACTAGATCAAACTGATTTTAGGGATTTAATTAGAGAATACCTAATTTGCTTCTGCGTTATCGGAGGAATGCTCTCTTTAAGGCTTTAGTTTTCAAACAGTAGGACCAAGAATGTTCAACTTTTTCTTCAGGTCGCCAATAACAATTTTAAATACCTAGTTTGAGAGTTCTCATATCGTCGCTCCCAACGAAGAGTAGCACATCTCAAATTACCGTGGAAGACTAGCACGTTTCACTATTCGCGTCGAAGACTAGCACATTTCATTATTCGCGTCGAAAAGTAGCACATTTCAGATTCTCGCGTGGAAGACTAGCACATTTCACTAATCNCGCGAGGCGCTCATAAAACTGCTCTGTGGTCTTTTCAACCTCCGTCTGGGCATGCGCAAAAATTATGCTATTGTTATTGAATATTTCTTGAATGTTAATGATTGTAACCACAAATCCCGGACCGTATTTTAAAACATGCAAAATTCTGAGGAAAATTAGTTCACGCTATCAAAAATCTAACACAGAGGGCCGTTAAGGGGCTCAGGAGCCACGATTACGGGACTTACTTATGTATATTTTCTCGTTTTACTGATACAATTTTATGTTTCCGTTACGCTTCTGCAAGTTATCGTATTGTTTAGACACTAAACAGTAGGGCTGACTTCCAAAACGTATCAATACAATGTTTGGAAACTCATACTGCGGTAGTCAAACTGTTTATATATGCAGAGTTGCGATACATTGCATATTTTAAATATTCAATTTAGCAATGAACAATTTTTCTGAATTTTCCATTTTTAAAACACCTATGGTAACCAACCATTTTTAAAACACCTATGGTATCTATATTTATTTCGGATTCGCTGATTGTGTTTCGATAACTTTTCGGATGCGTTTTGGAAAAGTATACTTTGTCAATATTTTGTAGTTCGGCGTTATGGAACATTATACTTTGTACGTATGCAAAGCAACTGACGTTTTGGAAGTCAGCCTAGTATTCATGTAGGAAAAAGAAGCTCTTATTTGATATTTATGTAAATAATTTTAGTACTACCAAACTTACTATTGATTGCTAGGAATCCACGACACCTCCGCCTAAGCAACATAAGCCACACACCGGACCACGCGCGTCGCCAGACCCACAACACGCGAGGCGCTGTGACCTGCGTACGGATCTCTATATGCTGCAGCCAGAACGTCTAAATCAAGGCGGTCAAAATAATCCTCTTAAGGTAAATCACCGCAGCTTCTCTACGTCTCACAAAATCACTTTATTATAACCTTACAGTTTTTACTGAGCATTAGGCCGTTTTTTTTATGAAACATTTTTATGAAAAACAGCAATAATTTAGAAGGTATAAGTTACATATACGGCTATTTTGGAGACGAGCAAATTTTCTCATTAGTCTCCTTCAAAGTAAATGGTCTATCCTCTGAGTAAAAACAGCCTCAAGTTCAATGAAAATTTTAAAACAAATTGTTATTAAGTGGTAAACAACAAAAACTAACGTTAATTTTCATCCACTTACCCAGGGCAAGCTGACCAATTGTCATGTGTCAGGATGCGAACGCCCCTTCAGCGTACAGAAAATACCACACAGCAATCTCATTTTGCTAGTAGTGGATACCTTATGTCCTTGCGGCTCCAAGCAGCTGGATATAGAACCGCTTGAGGAGTCGGGTACTATTGGTATAGATGGAATTTCTAAAATCTTATTTTCACAAATACATTCTAACGAATACTTCTTGCCCATTTTATAGGTGCCTGCAGCGCACGTCGCCAGTCACAGGAGAGCGCAAAGCGTCGTCGACCCAAAAAATGTATCAACTATCATCCTGAAGAAATCGAAATTCAGCAATGTGGGCGTGCCACGGCGCTTCTACAAACACCCATTTCGCTCGTCATGGCACATCTGTTTATGTTGGTGGTGATGTTTACGTTCACAACCGCGTGATACTAAGTGGAGTAAAAGTGAAAAGTAGCAGGTTACAGTTACAAATATGCAACACTAACATTTGAACAACAAAAGGATCCTACATACATAGAACGACAACATGAAACAACGCAACAATAACAATAGTTATATGCCAACAAAAGAATTACATACATACCTACATGCATTCATACCAACAAACCCACTAAAGATAAAAAACAAATAACGTTTATTAGTATATTTAAAAAATATCAATTATCACGTAAGTATATAGCTTAGTTCAATTAAGTTACTAATTAGGTGAAGTTGTGGATTTAGTTTTTATGGCAAGCGGAAGAAAAGTTTTGACGTTAAGTACTGCAAATATTGTATGTAATTTTTATGGATTATTTTAGCGCAATTCCGCGTAAGATCCAATTTACAATATAATAAGTATCTTAACTTGTTTAAAGATTTTTCACAAAGAGTATTTTCGGATACCAGAAAATAATTTTATAATTCAAAATCCTAATCAAACTGTGCTGTCTTCCTTCTTTATAAAAGTCAGCATTTGCTTTTATAAAAAACTTTCTGGTAGAAGCGCTCCTATTTGGAGCATTTAACATAGAAGAACTTGCCACTTTCAAGATTTTCAAATTATTAAAATCTTCTTCGTAGTGGCTGTTGTCCATGTGATTTCAATCACTTGGATTTGCCTAACTATATGAGTACTCTTTTTCGAAGCACCTCCAAAATCGCTTTAAAATAAATAAGATCAGCCGCCAAGTCCCCTTTTTTTTAGATTTTTAGTAAAATCTTTATTAATATCCACCCTTTTCCTATCGGATGGATGGTGGGATCTATGAAGAAGATTTACTCTTCATAATTCTAAGCTTTGCACACGCTAGAGCGGCATTTTCTGTTCGCAGTTTTCTTGCAGCATTCTTCAGAAAACATTCATATTCTTTTGTCCCCACATTTAGTCATCGGGAGTCCGATCTAACCGCATCAGCGTAAGCTCTTAAGTCAGCAAGACCTTTTTTAATTTGTTTGAGTTTCTCATTGACTACCAGCGACCAGAGTAATGACGACACCGCGCTCTCTTGAAGAATGTCTCTACTGACCGGTTTAGTGGTCTCATGCCCACCCCATTGAGACCTGGAAGTTTTCCAACTCAGTACGCTGCTTATCCAGTTTGAAAATACACGGTGTGCCACTATCGTTAATACTCCATCGAAAATAGCTCGTTTTTGACATTATTGTATACACTCTAAAAAAAAATTTTGTAGATTTCCTAGCTAAAAGGTAGGTTACTGATTTCCTAACTTACTATTCGCGAAATTACATGCTCGATTATTCAACGAATAGTTTGTTTAAATTTCGGACTTTTTAGGGTGTAATATAGCTGCTGTGGTGTGCGTAAATTCATTACGAAAGTGTGTACAAGCTACAAAATACACATCTGCTGTTTTATTTCACCCGTATAATTGCGTAAAGCCGCTAACAAAAAGGATTTTTACACACGAAAATGTGTAAACGAGAAAAATACATATTCGTCGTGTAAATTTACCAAAGAATTTTAAAAATAAACAAAAATATATTCGACTTATAGTCGCAATTTTAAACAGGTTTTTTAGAGTGTACAAGAAAACCACCATACTCGAGTTCATTGTAGTCAAGCCCCATGACCGACCGTATGACAAAATTTCGCAGGGTGGTGTCTACCGATTTTCGCTTATATTTAGTTTGGTAAAATTTATTAACTTAATAATAATAACACAGGCCGAGAAAAATGGAAAAAAATTTTGGTGCCGCATGTTAAATCTGGTTTTAATAGACCTTTTTGTTCTGAGAAAAACGTGGTCAAATTATAAAAAAATCGCGTTTTTGCGATATTTGAGAAGCTGTAGCAAAGAAACAAGCAAGATAGCACCTTCCGCTTTGGCTTAAAATAAATACTATCCTTTCACTTTGACCTGGTGATCATTTATTGAACAGCAAAAACCGATTTTGGCGAAGTTTGAATAGCTGCCGCAATTACACAAAAGATGATAGAACCTTATACTTGGGCTCAAATTAAGGCTTGACCTTGCGACTACAATCCCTAAAAATACCATCCTTAAACCTTGGTCTTAAGGTCACTTATAGTAATTTTAATCTATCTTCTATTCAGAAAAAAACGAAGTACATAATTCTGAAAATGCCTTGCCATATCTTTGAAAGTAGCCATGCATATATGTATATTATCAAAGCGAATTTTAGAGAAACATTATTCTACTATATGAAAATATACCATTAAAATACAACAGATATTATGAAATAGAAGTTTCCCTAATTTCCACATTTCTCTAATAAAACGAGTTACTGTTCAGGTGGAAAAGTGCGCTTTGTTCAGGAAGTTATTGGATATCTAGGTTATTTACAAATTTATGTCATATATGTACGTATGCTGTGCTGGAGTTTTTTCTTCACACATACATATTCTTCAAATTGAAAACTAACACTCATACTAGTTTTCAAAAATCCGATTTTTAAATTGAAAGTGGTTAGTTAGTGGTTAGTGGCTGCTAGTTTACTTGACCCCAATAGTCAAGGGCACTATTTAAGCCCATCGGATTATATAATTGCGCTGCAATTTATTTATGATATAGATACCAATCTGAACATATGAAAAAAATGTAAATGTAAATGTAATGGCGGACCTAACAAACTATAAACCAGAGAGGATTTATGTGCTAAATTTTTTATGTGGAGCAAAACAGAAGAAATATCTATTTCCACATGGTGCAAAAGTATTTGGGCGTCCACAGAATTGAGCAAGATAGGTTCGTATATTGACTGCTCCATGCACCTCTTTAGATGGCTGTTGGTTTTTATTAACATTTCTTAACTTTAACTCAACCGTGGAAGGTCACTGCCTATGTGAAAATATTTGACGAAGCATATCTTTCCTAGGCTAACGGCACAAAAGTATCTAGATAAATACATCTGAGAATTTTTTCCAAACCTCGAAAATTTTGTGGCAAACCCCCCAGGTTGAAAATCTAATCTGGCAACCCCAGCTGAGGATGAAATCATCAATTCCGCCTTCTTCCACTTCAACTGGTATCACCCTTTCTACACCCCTTCTCCTTCCAATTATTTTCGGAGTGCAATGACGAAGAAAAATCCTGCGACAGTGACTAAATTTTGATTTCGTTCGTATAATATAATGCAATGCTGCAAAAATAAATATATACATATATCTCATATAGCTTTTATCTTCAGTTATTCTTTTTTCACTGCCTTGTACGAATTTTTATTTATAAAATTTATTTTAAAATTAATTATTTTTTTCAGAACAATGGATTTATTCACTAAATCTTCTATGACATAGTTTATACTCACCTTTTTGGTAAATACCGGGGTATTTACCCATTTTTACCCAGTTTTCCCATTTAACCGGGTATATACAATTTGTTTATTTACCCATTTCCCATCTCTAAATATGATCCAATTTGTTAAAACTATGAACAATCCCTAAGCTCTTAATTCCACCTGTGAGATCTCTACAAGATCTTAAAATAACGGTTTACCGAGTGATCGTATTTTTATTTCGCTCAAAGCGGGACAATGGTTTTACATGTTCGCTCTAAATTTAATAAATTTTTAAATGTATTTCGGAATTTTTTAAAGAACTGTAATGAAAGCTCAGTAAAGCTGCCCTGAAGTACTTCTGGCTTTTAATATTTCCTCTTGCTAATTAATTGTTTCCAAACATTAATGACAAAGATTAAAGTCTAACAAATGTTGTTATTAAATTCATTTTCTATAAGTAGGATAATCAATTGGAATAAGTTTCTTAGATGCCTACTCTAAAAGACAAGAAGTATGTAGTTAAATTGCAAAAACGCAATTTTGTGTAAGTGGGTAGACAATACGAATATAATTTGACTTCTTACATATAAAATAATAAAAAAGATTCATTCCAATTTGTTGTATTAAAACTTTATTTAAAAAAATTGGTTATGGAGGAATAAGCACCTTTAATATTTAATTCATGTATAATTAAACAACAATTAGTAATGATTACTAATGATAAATTGATTAGTAATAACTAGCAAACAATATATGTATGTACGTATAACTATTAGTACTGTGGTACTTATGTCGTAGTTACAAGAAAAAAATTGAAACTACAAAATGTCAATGATTACCTAATATCTAACTCCTTATGTATGTATGTAGGAAGGGTAATGGTACTTGAAACAGTAATCGTTTGTATAAACTTTAGCAATTGAGTATAACAACATCTATAGGCGTTATTTTGTTTGAGGTTTAGAAAAAAGTATTCAAATATTCATAATATTTATTAGGTTGTAGTTATGTAAAGTTTTGTGAAAGGATTGGTTAGCCGGTATAAAAGCAGTTAGTAAAAGTTTAAAACAAAAAAGGAAAATTGTTAAGCGAATTTGGTAAAATTTATGACATTGTTTTTTTATTCTATTTTAAAACTAAACTAAAAAAGCGCGGGTCAGAATAGACTTTTTGAAGGGTGTTGTAAAAACATTAATATGTAATTAAAACAATTGGGCGTATACATAGTCAAAATAAAGTCGACTCTATAGTTAGTAGCAGTTTTTGACAAAAATTTCAATGGAATGGAAAAAGCGGTAAATAACTTTACATTCGACTTTATTCCCATTATGAATAAGTCCCAATATTTGCTAGCGACTCATTACAGTGTCATACATTCCATGTAAATGTAGTTAAATTATTGACGTTACAAAAAATTTGAAATCAAAATTAAAACTGAAATAAAAAACAAAAAAAAAGAACTCCAAGCGGCAAGTTGATGAGCATACACTCGAAATTAAAAAATTCTTTGTGTAAATAATGTTCACAGCTAAAACGTATGGAAAAGTACCGTTAAAAAGTTTTGATGTTGATGAAAAGCAGTAAAAATTCCTACCGATCCGTTTTAGAGCATAGAAATAGTGAAACTAAAGAACTTTTTTTAATTTCCAGTTATTTCGCGTGTCAAAAAAAATATATTTTTAAATCAGAAAAAAATATAAAAACTAGGTAAATGTTAATAATATAAACATAGCATAAAAACAACTCTATGGACTGTTAGCAAAACACCTAGACTGGACTCACAGTGCTACCAAAGCAACTAACGGGTCGCCAAAACTACATTCCGTTCGAGGGTCTAGGAATCTAACTCCATTTCAAACTAATTTGATTATCAGATCCAGCGCCAAAAAGGAAGAACAAGATTATCAGATAACGGGAATTTTAGCCACAGCTGCAAAGTTCGTCATAGCAAGGCCTAATTAATTTTCAAGATATCCTTCAGCATGATTTATACTCTTTTGCGTACGCTCAAACCAATCGGTGAAATATTTCTTCTGTAGTGCCTCAAAAACATGGTTTTAGATGCGTAAAATATTCATTCCGGCGATGAAAAAGTCGATCCGGCATTTCACGATTTATTGGATTTGTTTTTATATTCAATGCCAAGCTCAATAGTGAACATGGCTTTCTCCATGAGGGTTTTCATAATTTTTCCTATGTCCTTCAGAGTTGATAGCATTTATACCAATTCAAGCATTTTCAGTGACTTTATAGAGTTGCAGTACCTTGCAGCACCGTGCGGTGAAAGGTAATTGGTATAGAAATACTCTCAACACTCCAAACTAATAGATACAAAGGTTTTTGCTGCGCCCGCCTGCGTCCCTCTTGTTGATATTTCATAAACTAAACATTTCACACTGGAAAATTGTCATATATATAAGCTGTGGCAAAATGTAGTAATTGCGATTCGATTTGAATGAAATTCGCTATACAAGAAGACTTACGTAAAACCTATCGATAGGGTCAAAATATTCGTAATGGTAGGAATAACAGGATCTTTGAGGACTACGCCGACCGCTGCGCTTGGCGTCATCCTACACATACCTCCATCGGATCTGCCTGCTAAAAACATAGCCCTAAAAACTGGAATCCGGCTTACTACTACTGGTTACTTTAAGTTCATAGTCAGTTTTCTTGCTACCTGGACAAAAACAAACACAGACTATATCATAGCGTGTCTGTATTTTGGGAAAGTTTGTCAGTCGTTATTGAGGAGGATGGACGGCGCAAGGAGAATGCAGTAGAATTCATATATCGTCGGTGATACTGCAAAACGGTCTATGTTTATTAGTACCTTTGATACCTAGATGGTATCTTATTTGCACCGGAATGCATCTGCAAATCGTTACACCGTAATAGACGAACGACAAAACTATCTACCTTTGGCTGATGAAGATTAACTATTGCCAGAAGCGATCTTCTTCTTCTTCTTTTT